TATATATATATATATATTCTAAAATTACTAAATTTTAAATGAAAAAGACTAAAATCGCACAATTATAATAATTTAGGGACTAAAATTGTTCAATTAAAAATTAAGGGACTAAAATCACACAATTACAATCTTTTAGAGACTAAAATTACCCAATTAAAACTTTAGGAATCAAAATTACACAATTGCAATACTTGAGGGATCAAAAACGCAATTAAGCCTAAATAAAACTGTAAAACAAAAGGGAAATTAAATTATACATTTAATTGTTTTTCAAGCCCGTTTTAATTATATTTACTAGCGGAAAAAGATTCAAAATCAGTTACTTTTAAGCTTCAAAATCGGATGTAAAACCGATTTTATTCTCGTCAACTTTGTGTGGTACCTTTCTATCTCAAGAAGTTTTGTTAGATAGTGTAACATTCCATTTTTTAAATAAAGAATAAAACAAAGTTTTTAAATAATATATATTTAATTAATTAATTTAATATAGCTTGTAATAAACATAAAGAGGTTTTTAATAAATAAAATAAAATAAAATATAAGTGTAGGTTAGAGAGGAGTCTTTGAGATCAACTCTTGAGCTCAATCAAAAGTCTTATGAAAATAAGAGGATGATGGTTAGGTTAGTTTTCCCTAATAACTCTAAGCCGTGAGACTGCCTTTAGAGGAAACCCTAGAAGGAAACCTTAAGGAGCATGAATGATAGCTATGAAGATAGCGGATGAGCATGCATGTGCCTTAGGGATCATCACTTGATGCAAGAAGGAGAATGGGAATGTCTCACTTTAGGCACATACAATGAGTATGGGCACTAAGACGATCTATAAGCCTCTTAAGGAATTCTAAGTGTATGTGTTTGAAGCAATTGTAGTTGATGTAAGATTCTTACTATTATATGAACATATAGGAAGTAAGATTCTTTTTGGAAACTTTCTCTTTTGCTTTGATAGTAGGTGCCTCCACATTGTTTCCTTAGATGAGTTTACCCGTATCCTTGTCTTTTGGAGTAACTGAGTATTGAATTACATGCTATATTGGGTGAGAAGGATGGTAAACTATTCAATCTATGCTTCCAACTTAGTGTAGATGCTTCCTGCTACTTCTGCTTATCTTATGGCAGTGTGATTTTTATTCGTTGTTCGCTGAAGAGGGAGTATGTTTTGAGCTCAGGCTCTCCAGGCTGGACTGATTTGAGGCTTCGATCGGCCGATGGTTGGGAACTTGGTGGTGATCCTGGTTTAGTTCTCTGATTTGAAGAGCTCGATGACATATTGAAATCGAGATGAGTAGATGTTGGCACCCTTTTTGAAGGTGGACGTCGGAACCTTTGGCGGATACTCGACGATGATCCTTGTTTTCAATTCAAGGTGAGTGTTGATGATGATGAGTATTATTGTTCCGGCCCCTCTAGGCCGCCTACTTATGGTGATGAGTGTTATTGTGCCAGCCTCTCCTAGCCGCCTGCTTGAGATGATAAGTATTATTGTGCTGGCCTCTTCAGGCCGCCTGTTGAGATGGTGAATATTATTGTGTCAGCCTCTCTAGCCCAACCGTTGAGATGGTGAGTATTATTAAGTCAGCCTCTTCAGGCCGCCTGTTGCGATGGTGAGTATTATTGTGTCGACCTTTCTAAGTCGCCTGCTATGAGTGTTCTTGTGCTGGCCTCTCCAAGTCACTTGCTTTGATGGTGAGTGTTGTTGTGTTGGCCTCTCCAAGTCACCTGTTATGAGTGTTCTTGTGTCGGCCTCTCCAAGTCACCTACTGTGTTGATGAGTATTATTATGTCGACCTCTCTAGCCCTCCTATGGTGAGTGTTCTTGTGCAGGCCTTTCCAAGCCGCCTACTTTGAGTTTTGTTGACTGATTGCCTCTTTTCTTAGGCGAGGAAGTCTGATGAAGACATGGATAGCTTGTAGGTAGTGCCCCTATGCTGATGGGCGATGGGTAATCTTTTTTGTGAGATGATGTGGTGAGTATTCTTTGTTGCCTCTCTAAGCTGGAGGTCGATGCTTGAACATGATTGCTTGCATGTGATTTGTTAGAAATGCCCCTATGCCGGTGGACAGAGGAGTTTTCTGAAGGATTGTGGTTTATAATCCTATCTTTTCTTCAATTGAGGAGTTTTTTGGTGGAGTGCCTTGTGTTTGATGAATCGTGCCCTTGAAATGTCGGGCAAGAAGGATGTTTTGTTTGAGAGGGATCGTGGCTTGGGATCCTATCCCCTATCGAGTGATGTTTGTGCTTGACGTTGTTGCTACCCCTGGTTTGGGTTTTTTTTGCCTTTTTTTCAGATGATGTCAATTTGAATTTGTGTTTCCCTTTTTGGCTTTTCTCGTTGAGATGAAAAAATGCAGAATGCTTATTTATGCAAGATGCTATTTTTTTTTGTTGCATATTTTGAATAATCCCCCTTGGATAAAGTAAGTTTTCAAAGCGTGTGAAATGATTTTAGATGTATGCAATGAATGTTTTGATTTTAGTTTTTTAGAAGGTGGTTTTTGTTTTCTCCTTCCCACAAGTAGACCGCTACGGTTAATTGATGCGCAACATTAGTTATATTGGCCATTTAATGTGTTGAACTATCTTAGGGCTCTTTTTTTTTTTTTGCTTTTTTGGAAAACCTTAACTTTTGCCTAGGCCGCCATTTATGGGTTTTCAACCTAGCGGGTTACTTTCAATTTTTTTTTTGGACTTGTTTAATTTTTGACGGAAATAACATAGATGTGTACCTAAAACCCCTTGTAGAGGAGTTACGTGAGTTATGGAATGGTGTGGACACTATATGACTCATCATTGAATGAAAATTTTAGAATGCGAGCAACTCTTATGTGGACAATTAGTGACTTTCCTGGCTTAGGCATATTATTTGGTTGGAACACACACACGGGATTGGCTTTCCTGACTTGCAATTTTGATGTGGAACCTTGTTGCCTTCAAAATTGTAAAAACTGGTGTTTTATGGGTCACCGTCGTTTTATGGGTCACCGTCGTTTTCTAAGCAGAAATCATAAATTTAGATTGAATCGTGTTCATTTTAATGAAAACACAGAAGAACAAAACT